CTTTCTCACACACACACACACACACACACACACACACACACACACACACACACACACACACACACACACACACACACACACACACACACACACACACACACATACAAATATTTTTAAATAAATACATTGTGTGTTTCTGCAGAAAGTCAGTGAGAAGGTCGGGGGGGCCGAGGGAACAAAGCTCGATGAAGACTTCAAAGAAATGGAAAAAGTAAATATTCGTGACTGAATTACAATTTACATTTAAAACAGCATCTATATTTTTGTGAAATAATAAGTTATGACATTTAAATTATATTTTAATTAATGTGTGTAATTTGTATTTGCTTTTGTTTGTATTTGTCTATGTCATTGACCTGCCATTGTTGACGGGTAGATAGTGGTATATATATATATTTAACGTATATTAATATGTATATTGATGTTTCCCTGCAGAAGGTGGACGTCACCAGCAGAGCCGTGCTGGACATCATGACGAAAACTACAGAATACCTGCAGCCAAACCCAGGTCTTTAGTTTGATTCTGTTTTATTTCATTTTATTTTATATTCAATTATTGTATTTTAATTGTATTTTATGTTTTATTTATTTTATTGAATTAAATTGTATTTTCTTATTAAAGGTTTGATTTAATTACATTTTGATATAATTTATTGTATTTCTTTTTATTTATTTACAAATAACTAAAGTAGGATAATTGGTTATCTTTTTATCAATTTTATTATTTTATCTTATATTTCATTTATATTAAAATGAATCTATTTTACATTTGTATTTTGCTTTATCAAACGAATTGTGTTTTAATTTTCCTAAAAATCTATATATTCTATCGTCTGTTATCTATTAAATAAATTCTATCTATTTGACTGAATTTCCTCTGTTTTATTCTTTTTAATTCTACCGTATCTAATAATATTCTTAACGATGTTTCCCGCTCAGCGTCCCGGGCGAAGTTGAGTATGATCAGCACGATGTCTAAGATGCGCGGGCAGGAGAAGGGTCCGGGCTACCCGCAGGGGGAGAGCGTTCTGGGGGACGCCATGCTGCGCTTCGGGCGAGAGCTGGGGGACGAGTCCAGCTTCGGTACGACACTATTCATCCATCTCTCTATTTATTACACACTGTTAGAAAACTCTACTGGTCCCCGGCTTGAGCTTCAATCTCAGGATCCATGTATTTATGATCCTCTCCAGAATGGAAGCGGTCATCACATACGTCCAATATTCATCCATGACATCTCTTTTTATTTATTACACATTATTATTTCATCTGCAGGAAATAAAAGTGAGATAAATATCGGGTTTTTTTGCTTTATTTTACGTCTCTTGATTATCTTAATTTATATATAAAATTCATCCTAGTTAACAAAATTCTAGAATTTATCCTAAGTGTCTTTTTTCCATAGCTGTATTCTATTTTAATATCTAAGCATCTAATGCAACATTCTAAGGCTTTTTTTGCATTAACTGTATTTTATTTTTATTTTTGTATTATTTAAAATTATTCACCCTAATTGCTAAATTCTAGGTTTTTTTTCTAGAGTTTTTTTTTATTACTATTTATTTTTAAACTACCTATCAAATTATCTAAACTCAACTTTTTGTTAATAACTTTAATTTATTTTTACATTTTTAATTTATTTCTCAATCATAATTTTCTTAAATCTAAAAATGTTTGCATTATTTTAAATATTATTATTTATTTGAATAAATAATCTAAATTAAACTTTTTCTGGGGATTATTTTTGCATAACTTTATTTTATTTATACTCATTTTAACAATCCATTCTAATCGCAACATTCAAGTGTTTTCCCTTTTTATTTATTGAATAATACTGAAACCCCTAACAACCCGTGGGGATCAGAGGTGTTTCATAACAGTATGTAATGCTCTGTGTTCCCTTCAGGCCTGGCTCTGATGGACGCCAGCGAGGCGATGAAGGAACTCGGCGAGGTGAAGGACGCTCTGGATATCGAGGTCAAACAGAACTTCATCGACCCGCTGCAGAACCTCTACGACAAGGACCTCAAGGAGATCCAGGTGCAAAGATAAACTATTACATATGCACTAAAAACTGCAGCATAGGATCCAGGTCTCATGTGAGGAACATATCAATCTGAATTAAAACTCTTCTCTTTATTTATCTGTTTTTTATTATATCGTCCCATTTCCTGTATTTAATCAATTTAATTGCATTTTACTGGAATGTATTTATTTTACTCGGTCTAATCTATTTAATCTACTTAATCAAGAAGGTTAAGCGCCTTTGAGCATTTGGAAAAGCACTGTAGAAATCCCATGTATTATTATTATTAATAATCTTGAATGTATTTTATATATTTTATTCAACATTTTCATTTATTTTATTTTTAGTGTACATTTTTTTTATATTTTTAATGTATTTTTTCCATTTTATATTTAATCATTATATTTAATTTATTTGTGACATTTATCTATTTTTAATTGTATTTTATTGCAGCTAATTAGCTTTTGCATTTAATCCTTTTTTATCAGTATTTAATGACTTAATTATATATATCTTTTTATTTGAAAACAAGCTCTCAAATTACGAGATTATTATTACTAAAAAATAATAATAATGAAACCAGTAAGGACGAAAAACGAAAACAATGAAGGATAAAATGACAAAAAATGTGACGAACACGTAGAAGAAGCAGTATGTATGTCCCTCTCTTCCCCTGTGTGTCCCGCAGCACCACCTGAAGAAGATGGAGGGCCGCCGCCTGGACTTCGACTATAAGAAGAAGCGTCAGGGGAAGGTTCAGGACGAGGAGATCAAACAGGCGCTGGAGAAGTTCGACGAGAGCAAAGAGATCGCCGAGCAGAGCATGTTCAACCTATTGGAGAGCGACGTGAGGATAGATCAATTAACATACCAATCAACCTGCCCCTTACATCACGGTTAACCAATCAGATGTCTGGATCGGTGTGTGTGTGTGTGTGTGTGTGTGTGTGTGTGTGTGTGTGTGTGTGTGTGTGTGTGTGTGTGTGTGTGTGTGTGTGTGTGTGTGTGTGTGTGTGTGTGTGTGTGTGTGTGTGTGGAGAGAGAGTGTGTGTGTGTGTGTGTGTGTGTGTGTG